TCGTGGTAAGAGAGACGACTAAGTTTTGATCGACAAACCGCATCACTTAAAAATATAGGAAACAGCAGAGATCAGTGTCTCGAGCTTCGGCATGTGTATTCTCTGTGTGGTGTTGTTGCTATTGCTCTGTGCATGCATTCATAGAGAGAGATTTTTCTTATTTCTTGCTTATTTCCTTTTTTTATGTGCACGAGTAAATCGTAGACTGGCTATATAGTGTATTCTGTGTTTGATTCTCTTCGCTCTTTTGTTCATCCATTCGTCTGTTTCAATAGAGTGCCCTTTTTGGTATGTAAATTGTTATTTGATGGCCAAAGAATTTCCTTTAGGTGTTTTATAAATTTTTTGTTGTTGTTGTTGCTGCTGCTGCTTATGTGCTCTGCTGCTCTCTTCTTCGTTCATTTTCGTTCTTCTTGTCGCTGCATTCACTCTTGGTGCTTCATTACCATGATGATGATGTTCTTCTTCTTTGATTCACACATAAGACTACATTGAATCTCTGTCTCTTCATTCCTTGTTGGTTTTTGTGAAGAATTCCAACGTGAACATTGCAGCCGTTGCCGATGTTGTTATTGCTATTTATTGTGTGTACACTTTTTTCTTCTCTTTTTTCCATCTCTTTCGAAAAAATGTACATGAACGTATTTCGTTAGCAACGAAAACAACAACAACATTTATTTCGGAGGTAAAGGACGACGGCCCAAAGAAAAGAATGGAATAAAAGAGACGATACAAACCACAGTATGTTTGGTATGCTCATATCTATAAGAAAAATGTTTCTCGAGATAAATCTGTAGATTATTTTATATTAGCTTTTTTTACTTCTTCAACTCCTTTACTCTCTTTCTTTCTCTATAGATGTGTGTATGTGTGCGTGTTTGTTTGGATGGACCGGACCGTTTGAGAGTATGATTGGTTTTGATGTGGCGGGATCCGTTCAACGGCTAAACACAGCGTTGTCAATTTGGAAAGTGCACAATATACTCCAATTGTTTTTATTTTCTTTGGGTTTTAATGAAATTTGATTGTCACGCAAACGGCATGTTCGTCCATTCAAAGTATTCACATATTTTTTTTGTTGGTTTCAGACATTTTGTTTTCTATTTCAATATTCAATTTTTCACCTTTTCGAGAATAATGGTGTCTACATCTTTTAACTAGTTGGTTAACCAATTTCAATTCATTTCTTCCATCATTGTCTTTCATCTTGTATAGAAATGCTGGTGAATAGATGATCTATGGATAGAGAATTAATTCAAATTAAAAATGCATCTATTCAAGAGTTTGATTATTCTTACCGCTGTTGCTTTATTAAATTCTTTGGTTTTAAATCGATTTTTTTTATCGAAATAAAAAAATCCAATGAAAGAAATCAATCCGGTTTGGAATTTTTTTGTGTGTGAAATGCTCTTTTCTGTCTCTAAAAGTAGCATGTTATCAATAAAACTCAGAATGCTTGCGGAAAATTAATTTAAAAACACATATTTACTTTTTTTTAACCGAATAAATTACCATTAAGGAGCTGAAATTCGCCATTGAGGTTGAGGAGATGAAATTTCGAAGCGATAGGCGGTTTTGAATGCGCGAAAACAGCCGTATTGTGAGTGTGCGTGTGCTTGTGTGTTTCTTTGTATATGTTATTGATAAGTAAGTTTGGAATGTGACTGGCCTTGAGAAATCATGCCCTTCAATTGCTACCACTTTGTGCTCAAAACCATCTACACAAATACAAACATATTCTGGAGGCTGGATTATTCAAATTATCAACAAATTACACGTTTGGTTTAGAATAGTGATTAGTTCGTTGGAAAGTGAGACTATAAAAACGCAACAATAATAAAAATTAAAGCCGACCAATTAAAGACACTTATAATTGCATAATTTAAATACCCGACGAATTTAAAGCAAACAAGAAATTAGTTTTTTTTATGGTTTTATATAGTCTCTCTTCTTTCATTGGCATTTTATAGTCGGATCGAAGTTTTTCAATGAATATAAGAAACGTCTAAAAAAGCCACATCAAGTTTTGTATATCAGTTTATTATCTTCGGTGTGTATGTGCTCGTGTTATTTGTATGGTCCATGGATTTTGTTTGAATTTATTTGTGGTTTCGATTATTTTAGAACTGCTTCGCGTCTTAAGTTACAAAAATTGCGGTTTTCATTCGAATTTCGAAAAAAAATCCGCCAATTTTGTAAACTCCTTCGCTGAAATTGGCCACATTTTCAATTTTCTTCTTTTTTTTCGGAAAAGATGATCTATATCATAATGGTAATAAATGAAAAAAGAAACAGCAAATTAAAAAAAAACACAAGTTCTCTTTTTTTATATATATAATATATCTCGGTGTTTTTCTGCTTGTCGAAAAGAGGTATCGTTCTGTGAGCTTGGTCATTATCATTCACATATTTTTTTTCTTGTGTTTTTTTTTTAGTTTCTTCTTTGGTTTTGGTTATTAAGTTTTATATCGTATTCTGGTCATTCCCTTTTTTTCTCTCTTTTTCTTATTCTCTCGCTCTCGCATTTTGATTAGCAGTTTTTATGGCCACGTATAAAGTGGAAGAGCTGCTGATGTTTTCGTTAGAAATTTTCGTTTGATATTGCATTGTGCGCTCTGGCCGAGGCTGAAGCTTAAATCAGAAAAATCCACACTTAAAGATAGACACTCACTAAACACTTAGTTTATCGTTTGATAATTTTGTAGCTATTATTATTTTAATGTATGTCTATCCACATATTTAACTGCGATGCATTAATATAAATGTGCATTGGCTTAAATCTATATTAGTGTTATCAACAACAGAAGCAGTCGAACGATAGAATTCGGTTGAAATTCATAGCGCGATTACAAAAAGAGAGAAACGAGAATCAAGCAAGCGAGAGGTAATCAGTGAGTTGTATTGGAAGAAAAATCGTCGTTAATGAAATTTAATCGAAATGTATATGTAATTAAATGTGTGCTTTCATTGGAATGTTATCTGTGAATGATATTCGTTGGCGTGGTAGTGGTATTTGATGAAAGAATTTGTATGGTAGCTCGCGTGTTGAATCGACATCGCGCATCGAATAGTGGGGAAAACAAGTTTCTCTAATCGTTATGGATAATTTTTGTGTTTAGATTTTGTGTGCTTTTTTTCGTATCAAAATATTTTTGTACACATTTTTTTATTGCTTTCTAGATTGCTTGTGACATTGAAAATTTCTAGTGTAGTAAATGTGAATTTACACACTCAAGATTTAGCTGGTTTTTTTGCCCATCGATACTTGAGACGAGAAAAATCTTGGATATCATTTTATTTTATTTATTTCACCGTCTGATCACATTATCATTTAAACGTCTGTTGATGAGACAACGTCACAAAATTCGTGCATCATACGCTTGTTTACACATAAAAGAATGAATCTGACTGAATAATAAGCTGAAATACTTTACATACGCTGACTTTTTATCACATTCCGATTTTGTGACATTTGTTCATCCAAAGCGTGTGGAGTGATGATTTTGTTTTAACATCTATTTTATTGATAAGTGCTGAAATAAATGTCAACAACCGAAAACCGTTGGTTAAAATGAATGGTAATTTACCCGCAAAGTATTTCGTTACATTTTCGTTTGTAACGAGTAAATTACGTTACAGTGTCAAAAATGGACACAAACATTATGCAGATACATTTAAAGAGAACATGAAATTCAACCGGGGCATTTTAAGCACGATCATAAATATTTGTTTAATCATGGCCTTTAGTTTGAGCTTAATGGTTTTGTTTTCTCTCGCTGTGGCTCCTTTTTTAATGCGATTTCTTTTCTTTACCTCATACCAAATTTAAGGAACAAAAAAAAGAGAGAAAAAATACAAATATAAATACACATCCAGTCAAAACCTTCAGACAAACATTTCATTTTGCAAAATATGTTGGTGTTGATTGAAAAAAAAATTGTATGCCTTTTATTTTATTTTGCAAAAAAGTGAAAATAGACATTTGGTTAAACTAAACTTTCGATCAATCTTTGAAAAACCAACTGTGGTACAACAATTCTTCCAATAAACTCAACATTTTCATTTAATTTTGATTTGGTTCGTCATTTTCTTTTTATTTGTGGTTTGATTTTATTGACACATTCGAAATTATTGCATTCGCTTGTAACAGAAAACGAACAAAAAAAAACAACAACACACAAACCAATAATTTTGGTTTCTGCTACTGCGATAATATTGCATCTCTGTACATCGTTGTGCGTTGTATACACAAGTCATACAGCTATGCATATTCAGAGTGTGGCAAACCGCAAAAAAAAGAGAAAAAGAGAGAAATCATAAATGCATTGAATCGAGGTCGAAAGAACAGAAATATGCGCAAAAATATCAACTCGCAGCTATTTACATGTATAAAAATTCCAATTCTATATTTCTTCTTTCTTCTCTTTCTTTGGTGCGCACTCACTTGTAAACCGAAAAAAAAACACACATAACCAAACGAACGTTATCTTTATGTGATTCATCAATTTCAGACTGAAACTTTACAGTGAGATTGGATATATAATGACACCCGTTAAATATGTATATATTCACTCGATATTTTTCTGTTGTTAACAGCATGCATTTAAAAAAAAAAACATCAATGACAATTATTATTATGACTTGACATTTTGAATATTCTTATCGAAATTGGTGCACGCGGCAACACTATGTCAAAATTAAAAGCCAGTTATTTAAATAAATAAGAACTTATACACATTTTTTCGCACATTGATCCATAACATAAATGTAAAAAAGGCCTGCAATGATTATTATTCAAAAAACGTGAACAAAAAGAATGTGTGAAAACTCCCAAAGAGATACTTACTCGGAACATTTTCTTGCACAAAGGTGTTCACAAATAATATCTCCTATCTATATTTTTCCATGCTTATTATAACGTATTTAAAATATGTTTTGGGCTTCACCAAAAGCAAAACTGAATTGATCATAAACTAATGAACATTTTATTTCTCTTTCAGGAACTAATTCTAGGAAGTAATTGCAGCTGGTAACAATGCAGCATGCGAGCTTTTTGCACCGTCAGCGCGCCCTTAGAGGTTTGCGCGCCACCAACAAGACCACTGTTACCAGGAAGCCGTTTTCTTGCTCTCAAGTACGTATTTATACATTTGATTTTATCACTTTTGTCCAACTATTCGAAGCACCGTCATCAGTTCAAAGTGTAAATGTATTAACGTTCATTTTAAATGTCATTTGTACTTTCAGATTATTAGGAACTCCCCAGCCACGCACACTGTACTTTTTAGTCGAAGCAAAGAGTCGTGTTCGCGAAGTTTATTCACAAACATGTCTTCACTTTGCCAAACAAGGAATGCTCGACACCGAACTATTCGGTCTGGCTGTTCTCATAGGTAAATGCGATTCAACGTTTTTCTTCTTTTTTTTAAAACATTTTGTTGTAATGAAATACATGGTGGCACTGCAACAAAGTATTTTTCATGTAATGGGAAACAATGGATAAGGCACACATGTATCCTGCGTTGAATATATTAAGTTTCATTTCATTTTACGTATGTGTATAAAAAAGAGCGAAAGAAATCGCAATGTTCTGAAATTCTTGGAGTCAAATAATTTATCGGTCAATTTTAGTTGCCTTTCAAAAAAATAAAATAAAAGAAAGAGCGAAAAAAAACTTGAATGATCGAATGTGTTTCGTGAATTAGCGCGTGGTGATTTGCGATTTCATGCATCTTATAAAAGAATTCTGTGAAGCTGTGGAATTCCTTTCACGTCGAAGCAGTAGCTTTTATGTGATATCAAAGCTTCAAATAAAACAATAAACTATTTGTGTGTGAGCATTCATTTTCGACGATAAAATGACAAAAAAAGAAGCTATCGAAAAAGAATTTTTTTCTGTATTTCAACATGTCACAAAAACATCCATTTCTTTGGCCGATACAAACGAGCCAAAACAGATTGAAAAAATTGGAATACACGCAGATTGAATGGAGATAACATAAATCAAAATGGATAATAAAATAATGCAAATGTTGAAGATCAAATCAATCGAAATGAATCAATAAAAATTCGATTCAGTGATGTTTTCACATACCATTCTCAGACCAACAACAACAATGTACAAATGATCGAACCAGTCATGTTGCGTTGCACGAAACGACAGAGAAAATATTCAAAGCATACTGGTGCAACGACACCACCAGCATCATCACAACTAACATGAACAGAGCAACTATAATTGAATGGCCTGTCATTTTTTTGATTCAAACCAAAACGACATGGAAATCGTCGAATAACAAGAAGAAAAAAATAAAGCACTGAAAGGGAATCAATCAAACAAATTCTAAAGTATGTTTGTGTAAGTGCGCGTACACAAGAGAACAATCATCAAACGTGTAAACAATTTTCGAAATAGACACACAAGCAGTGGAAATGGGACAAACAACGATTGAAAAATAAAATAATATTTTAAAAATGCATGCAAACGCCATTTTAATCACGCGAGTTAGATGATCAAAATACATTTGACCTGGTATTTTAATCTATACATTCTTTGTATATAACATTTAAAAATGATCTCTCTTATTCGTTGTGTCAGGCCTTCTTTTTTTTCAATCGAAATTTTTGACGCTCTTGTTTGCCCGGTCATACTTGGGCGCGATCGAATTTTTTTCGTATTTGATGCTTTTTTAGATTGAGCAAGAGATATTGAGTGACTGTGCAGTGTGCACTCAAAGTATATAGTCGTTTAAAGCTTATTTCAAGTGCTATTTATATTCAAATGACCAACTATGACGATACTCCGACACTCCATCGTTTTTATGAATTTTGCGTGCCAAATAACCATTTTGATATGTGCATAAATGGGAGTCATTTTTTTTGGTAAAAGCGAATCACAACAACAAAATAAAATAAAATTGAAATCAATAAATATTCTCTTGATGAAAAAAAAACAATTCAGAAATGAGAAAAAATCGACATTTTTCACTTGACCACAGTTTTTTTCCTCTGGAAAAAAAGATTAAATGAAACATGCAAAGTTTATTAACAATATCACAAGAACACATTGAAACGAAACTCAAAAGGCTATGAAAAAAGGGAATGAGACGGAGAGCTGCCACAATATATTGAAAGACGCTGAAAGCAAACGAAAGAATAAAACTGTATGTATGTGTATTGCGCAATAACATTGAACAAATACATGTATATAACACAGACCAATTCAATCAATATTCATCCTACGATCATAAAGAAAAATGATATTTTCTTGTGCATATAACAACAACAGCAACGAGAGAACTTGAACACGAAAAAAATTGAAAGAAGAGCATATAATCAACGTCAATGTCGTTTTATACGACGAATGCGTTCTGTTCTACACATAAAGCGACAAATAAAAAGTTAGCGATGGTTTAAACTGCATTCGAATAAATGTTTAAAAAAACACAGACACACACAAACATTTGCTGCCAACGAGCGATGGAAGAGTGCGGCACGAAGAAAAAAAATTACACGTATCATATGAACAGGCCCACTCATTATATTCACTTTGTTGTGCGCTTAACTTGAGAAAACGCGCACATAAAACATATATTGTATGTATGCACGAATAAAAAAAAACAAGAGATGTATTAAGCATGAATGCATTAAAATGAAAGACGCGTGTTTAGTAATTCAGGTAGCTGACACAAACTTAAGCTCGTTTTCATTTTATTATTATTTTGGCATTAGTGTTGTTGTTTTTGCTTCAGTTTTTTTTTTTTTTTTCATTCTGCGTCGAGCCGCTTTCAGTCTTTTCTTCCAGCCTGTGGTGTGTGTGTGTGTGTTTTTTCTTCTCTCCACTCATTTCCTCCATTTCATTTTTTTTCTACTGATGCATACGATGATTTCGTGCAGGTATTCATTTCGGACGACTGAGGAATTCGATTTATTCACTTCATTTAACTTTATGTATGGAATTTTTCCTTCTTTCTCTCTTTTTCTTTCGTTTTTTTTTTGATTTAATACACACTATTTTACATACGGAAAAAAATGGGAATAAACAGAATTATTCTGGAAATAACATTCTTATATTTGTTTCATAAAACGATCGGACGATGGCTTGCCAAGGCGGATGCAAGAGATAAGCAGTCACTGCAATTTCGAATCGTTAAGATGGATCATTTTAATTTACATCTACAATTTTTTTTATCTGTTGAAAATTGCCCCGAAGCTGAAAGCTAATCGGTTTACTTCAGACGCTATAAACATGGATATAAATGAAAGAAACATGGCACAGCTTAAAATTGTATATATCAACGACATTTTGAAGAAATATTTATTTTTGATTCGATGAAATGTCTTTTCGAAATGATAATCGCCGTTTTGGCCAGCATTTCGGGCACCGACATTTAAAGAAAAAGAATTTCGTTGAGTGAAATGACAGAAATTAACATTAATTTTTTTTTATACATCTTAAAATGAATATGTATTTTAATGGTATACCGTTATAAGATCAATTGCCTCAATTGTTTCCTATTATTCCATCAATATAATTTACATTTATTGCTTCATTATTCCATTTTAAGTTATTTCAAGTTTTAATCGTTTTACCGTTTATTTCATTTTTCAACTTTGTGACGATTAAAATTGAAGCCACAATCAATTTATATTATGTCCATTAACAAATTGATTTCTTTTTTTGTCATATTTTTTTCTTCTTGTAGATGGCGAATATCTATTCGCCGATCCCGAAAGCAAATTATCGAAATATGGTCCAAAAAGTTGGCGCTCATCCCACACACACGTAAGTCATAATTAGTTTGGCTTTGTCAATCGTGATGATTTTTATCTTTGATTATTGTTTACTAATTAATTAACGAAAATAAATTTCTCTTCAAAAATGTGTGTAGGGTCTGGATGCAAATGGTCGACCGTTGCTAGAGTTTCACTTTCGAGTGCAGTTTTACATCGAAAGCCCATTAATGTTACGAGACGAAACATCACGTCACAACTATTACCTGCAACTAAAGTCGAACACAGTTAATCAAGAAATTCCAAAAGAATGTTCGGAACAATCTTTAATATTGCTTGGAGCGCTTGCGTTACAAGCCGATTTTGGCGATTGTCCCAACGAAACAAACGATGACTATTTTAAATTAGACGATTATGTACCAAGTAATTTACGAACGACATGGGGAGCAACAGCTTTGTATTCGTGCCATAAGGAGTATCGTGGCATGTCACGTGCTGATGCTGAAACCAATTATATTAAAGAATCATGTGCACTAAACGATGCGATCAATGCGCATATATTCAAAATGAAATTGACTAAAAATGAAACGGGACCCGGATCAATATGGTTTGTTGTATATGCAAAGGGTATCAAAATATTTGGCGAAAATTTTCAAACGGCCAATTTTCTCTGGCCAAACATCAGCAAATTATGTTTCGAACGGAAAAAGTTTGAAATTAAATACGGCGAACATAAAACCATATTGTATTCAAGTTCCGATATTAAGAATAAAAAATTGTTTTCATTGTGTAAGGAGACACATCAGTTTTCAATGAAAATTGCAACGAGACTGAACGATGCCATACGCCGCGAAGAGGAAGAATGTAGTTCGATGCATGTGTGTGACATGTATTCGAGAGCATTGAATTTACCATACAAAAATAAAGGCGATCAACGAATTTCGGTGATATCAAGCACCAGTTCGAATACAACATCAGGTATTGTAAGCGATCGTGTACATTCGGAAGATGAATTGGAAATTATGATAAATACACCGCCAGCCGCAAATATTGCGGCACCATCAACGGAAAGTTTGGCACTTGCACATTTACTGGACAAACCGAGCGTTAGCCGACAAACATCGTCGGTGAGCCGGATGTCAATGAAAGAACTTGATGAATCAATAAAACGTTTGTCAACACGACAAATTGCACGATCGGCCAGCAATGAATCAACGCCAGAGCAACCAGAACGTAAACACGATTTATCTGAATCAGATTCGCCAAATTCACAGCACAACATTGGCTCACAATGTTCATCAACGTGTTCAACAATTGTTGTTGCAACGGAAAATAGTCCACAACAAGTGTCAAGTACGACCGCTTCACGAAGAAGACCATCAACATCAAGCAGCATGGAATTGGGCTTCAGTCATACAGCCCAAAATTCAGCAATAAGCGAATCGACGACAACATCGGTAGATGTGGCTTATGGTAATAATGCAATTGATGAAGAAGATATTTCTGGTGTTTATACATTAAACAATCCAGCACCGACTGAAACAAGTGGCGTATATACAATGAGCAATAGCGAATTGACGGGACAATCATCTGAGCTTGCCGAATCAGAAAGTCATGAGAGTTCATATTATGGCAGTTTTCAACCGAAAAGTGAAATCAACGAGTCAACGCTGAATGTTGATTCAGTTGATGGAAATTTTAATCAGTCAAGAAAAGAGAGCAGTGCAAATGATTTTCGAATGCGGTCCGATTCGAATGTTAGTTCAACATCATTTCGTGGTGATGGCAGTGATCCAACGGATAAGAAAACATTACTGAGTGCGGAAGAGTTAACGGATTTAATTGTTGGCCGTGGTTCGTATCCATCACGTAAAACTGTTAGCAATACTTTAGACTCGGACTGTGACTATGTAACGATGCCATTGCCATTGAAAGAGGGTGAAAGTTTCTTGCCTGGTCACGAAGACACCGCACCATCCGATGATACATTTGATGTTGATTTGTTATCGTCAAATCCACCACCGCCACCGGTTCGTATTGATAGTAATGCGCATCGAGTGTTTTCCGGAATGATCAATAAAAATCGATCAATGCCACCTCCACCATATAGTGCTCATCATAAAATCACACCCGTTGCAACAAAGGTTGTGGAAAAACATCATGATGAAGTACCTGCGATGCATGCACGTGATCCACCGCCATATCCACAGCAATCAAGTCGAGTTCTTATGAATTCAACGTCGAATCTATCGACCAATTCATCGTCAGTGATGTCATCGCAAACAAGTCAACCAGAAGAGGCAGCCGCACGATTCATTACAACTCGGCCTCAAATCAATATTTTGAAAGCGCACACCAGTTTGGTTGGTGAGAATCAATTGAAACCCAGCTATGCAGCACCAACCATTCCACCGCCTGTCATTCCACAAGTACCACATTCCGCATCACAAAATCTCTTGGCCACTTCGATTGGGATACCAGTCGGCCCATATAACATAGGCAATGTTCATAAAAATCATTTGTCAAACATTTCATCACCGTATCCAGATGTGAAAACAGCAACACAAACACCACGTGCTTGTGTTCTTTTACCAGTTATTAAACCAACTAGACAATACATTCCACCACCACCAACATTGCCTCGTCAACCTCCGCCACCACCACCGCAACCTGCTCAACTCGCAACGGTTTATACAAGTCAATTGGCTCAATCACAAATTGAATTGTACCAAAAACAATTGTATGACAGGTAAGGATTTGTAATTTTCTTTTGAATGTAGTATGATGAATCATCATTAATGATAATCATATTTAACGAAAAACATATGATTTACACTAACATATTGTTTTATTGTTCTTTTTTTATTTTCCGAAAAAAACAGTTGCGATTATGTCATTTATCCGTTACAAGATCCAGCCATCAGTCAACAAGAGTATTTGGATGCAAAGCAAGGCTCAATTATAGCAGCAATGGCTCAAAATCCAGCTGCTATTCCGCCGCCGTATTTCATTCATACAAATCACGGCACATGGGATGCATGCAAAGGTCATGCAATTTACCGCAGCACTCCATATTTATCGATGGCATATTCAACGCATTCGCATTATGCTTCAACACAAAATCTATCCGATACATATGTACAATTGCCATCTGGCGCTTATTCACCATTATATAGTCCATCAATAGCTAGTTTATGCTCATCATATGATGCACCACCGCCAATACCATTGAGACCCAGACCAATGGCAACCGCAACAATGTTTTCACGTTCGAAATCGGACGACAACATTTTGAATTCCATCGAAACACTGCCAAAAGCCAAACGACTACCTCCTCCGCCTCCACCATATCACAAGAAATCAATAAAACCCCCGATGCCGCCACCCATCGAAGAACAATCAGTCAATATACCAACGCGTAAGCAGATTTAATTTTTTAATATAACCCCCCTTTTTTTCGTAATTTTGCACTTTTCACATGAACATTTCATTTCAATTTTAGCGATGATTCAGAAATCACGGCTTTCAACTCAACCGATTACGACAACTTTGCCGCGAACGAATGCATCAATGAAATTTGTAACAAATGAGCCAATCAAAAGTGTAACAAACTCAACATCAATACCGCCATCAACAGCAATCGATATAAATATCCTGCGTGAGCACAGCAAACATTTCGATTTGCCACTGATTTCAGCTTTGTGTAACGATCGTTCACTATTGAAGCAAACAGCATTCGTGATGCCAAAACACCCATCATCGAATTTTAAGCAAAATACATTACAATCATCAAAAGGTAAATATCCCGTTTCGGGCCTAAGCACCACACAATTGCATAAATCGCGGCAAAAAACATCGATCAGCCATCGTCATCCGAACGATAAATTACCACCATTACCAACGCCTTCTGTCATGGAAAATAACTACGTCATGGATCCAGCCATGAAACATAAAAGTTTTAGTTCACAACCGAACTTGAAACAAGCATGAAATGTGCAAACAACAAAAATGAAATGTATACTTGATAATTGAACATATGTTGAATTTGCAAAAGTAAATTCATTTCCAGTTTTAAAAAAATGAGCTAGTAAATTTAATAAGAAAAGTCGTTTTACTTTGTATTTAATTCAAAAACAAACAAAAAAAACAATTGAAAAATAGAAGATGTGCCTTTCTACGTAGAAAATAAGCGAGATACACTTTCTATAAAAAATTGAGGATGGCTAAATGACTATGGACACATTGTTTAATTTTATAAGATGTATTTTAAAGCGATGAGACTTACAAATGCTTAGTTTGTTTTCATACGCACACACAATCGAATCGACAGTTCGAATTGTGTTCGCTTTAACTTTGTACGAAAATGTAGAGAATGAATATGTTTTTTTTTAGTTGAGGATAAAATACGAGACGTAATTAGAAATTCTGATGTTAGAATGTTAAATATTACGTATATTGTTTAGTTCAAACACCGACACGGCTTCACAGGAATTTACAACTTTATGTTTATAAATTATTTTAGATTTGAACGTTTAGTTGGATTAATCGCGATTTTAGAATTTAAGATATATCGAAAACATATATTATATATTATGTTTTCACACCGTGTTTCTAATTCTTTTTTACTGTTCGCAAATATTTCGAAATAATTATGTTAGAATTTAAGCTTAAATAAACGAAAAATTGTTGTATAACAAATCTAAATTATATATAAATATATCGTATGCGGGGCTGAATTCGTACGAACAAAAAAAAAAAACATCGACAAAATTAAAAACAAATTTATTAGAGATAGGCAGAGCGATAAATTGAACCCTCAAGTGAAACACACATATTTTGTAAAGTTGTATTTACTTTTTGGTCATTTGCCATTTGCAAAATTGCAAATTTATTTTTTCCCACTTTTTTTTTTATTTTAAATTTCGAGTGAATAGATCGCGACTACAGCTATAGCAGGCGCTACTTGTGTATATACGAAGAGCGATTGTGTAGCCACAATCTATTCACTGTAAATTTCTGACAAAAAAAAACCAACTGATATACGATTATAAGGCTAATTTTTTTTCATTTATTTTTTTTATCGATAAAACTCGCTCAATTGCATACATACGCCAATCCTCAAGCATTTGATGTTCAAAACACAAAATTGCCAGATTTAAACAAATGAAATCGAAAACAATTCAAGACTAAATCCATGTTTCTTTAGTTTTATACTTTTCTTGTAATTGAATTTTAATTTGTTCTGAATAATAAATTCATAAAAAAACGTACTCATGATAATCATGACTTTTCATTTACATTTGTGATATGACGATATAAAACTATAGTTAGCAACAAGTAAGTATCTATTACGGCACATCTGGATTTTTTTGTCGTTTTCAACGCCACTTTACTAAGAAAGTAAGTACCCAATTTGCTCATCGTTCTTTCTAATTAAATATGACAGCGATCAAACACAGTTAGTGGCAACAAATGTAAATGCGTCATAAATATCTTATATTTCCATCAAATCGAAAGTAATAATTACAACTAGAATTATATTGGAATCTTCGTCTGAAAATGTTATCAAATGTGACATGTGTCACAATATTGAAATGTGTTTTATAAAATTTCATTGAATTTGAATAAAACCTTTCCAACAGCGTATATAAAACGAAGTCATTATCTGTTAAAACTCTAAGTAAGCTCGTTTTTCAGAATCTTTTAATAAGTGACAAAATGTTTGGCAGTAAGTTCTTCGTGTTGTTTTTTGTTGGCATCCTAATTTCTGAGGTAGGCTTTTATTTAGTTTGGTAGTACTTTTTTTTTAATTCTGCAAATAACTTAGATAAGCTCCGCCAATGTAAGAGAGTTGGCAAAGCAATATGAGGCACGTTTAAAAGGAGAAAACAATCAACAAAGTAGTTCTTATGAAACCACACCGGCAAGGAAATCACCTTCAGTTAAAGAAATGGCGAGTAAAATTGACAAACGTGTAACTAATCCAATTACTCCCAGTACTGAATTAAGCAAACCTGAAGTGTCACAAACGCAAGAAGAACAATCTCCCCAAATTGCTGCCACTTCTCAATCTTATACACCAACATCTTCAAACCAAATTGAGTCAAATTCACCAGCGCCTATTTCGGAAACCACACCAATTTTGAAGGGACATGGTCAAGCGAAAGCATCGCAAGAGTCGGCTTCTAAGGTCATGGCAAAAAAACCAATGAACACAAGTTACATGGTAAGCATTAGTCTATAATAATTTGAAATCATTTTCATATCTATTTCTTTAATTCAATTGAACAGTACAACTTGCAAGATTTATTCAAAAAAGCACAACATAATGCAATTTATTTGAATAAAATATCCGATGGTGATCGTTATGAATTATATGCACTACGTATGCAGGCTACAGTTGGTGATTGTAAAACTGCTCGTCCACAATCGAAAGGAGCCGCCGAATGGGATGCATGGTGGGTATTTCATTTAAATCGATAGATTTAGTCATTTCATAAAACTTTTTCCGTATAGGAACCACAAAAAAGGCACCAATCAAGAAAAGGCAAAACAAGATTATGTGAATAAGGTTAAGGATTTGGTGAAAAGAGTCGGTTTAAAATAAATCCACGTTGACACAAAAACCATATCTATGGGTGAGATCTAAAAGAACGTATGTTTTTTTTTCGCTATAAATTTTGGAAAAGGAATGTATGTGTTTTGCCAATTCTGTCTTACTAAAAGGAAAGTATGTTTCGCACCAAATAAATTTTGCAAAAGGAAAGTAAGTGATTCTGAATCAGTTGTTAAAAAAGGGATGCATGTTTAACGATGATTTTTCTGGAACTGGGCTTCAATGGATCCTCAGGATCATCAGAACGCTCCCAGTTCTGGAAGTGGGTTTTGGTGGATCCTCAGGATGGACCAGACTATGGTTTGACAATGCCCTGGCCTATCCTGAGGGTCCACTTCCAGAACTGGGAGCGGTTCTGATGATCCTAAGGATCCACCAAAGCCCACTTCCAGAACAAAGACACTTACGTTCTTTTATCCAAACCAACAAAACTGAAACATGCATCCCTTTCCCAACAACTGATTCAGCCGAAATACATACTCTCTTTTTTCGAAATTTATCTGGTGCGAAACATGCATTCCTTTTCCAATAACTGATTCAGCCGTAATTCATACTCTCTTTTTTCAAAATTTACTTGGCGCAAAACATACATTCCTTTATTGCGACAAAGTCGAACACACTTGCGTTCTTTTAGATCTCACCAATAGATATCGCATGATTATCAATTTGTCATACCATTCAATTTAAAACATTGTCTATGTGACGACAAAGAAAAATGAATAATCTTATTTATCACAGTTTGCCGGAATAGTTGTGGCCAAGGCATGTACATTTGAATAATTTTATTAATTCAGAACTTTCCATACTTTTCTTCAAATTGATAATCAATAATATTCAAATAAAAAAAATGTATTAAAAAAAGTTATATCGAATTATTGCTGGGTCTGAATTTTTTTCGAGTATAAAGCATTTATTTTCATTTCTTATGCAAAATGCCTACAATATCAGATGTCAACAAGCTGTAAGTACTTACACGTTCTTTTTCAATTGAAAACTTGCTGAAAAAGTAAACATGGTTGAATAGAAAAGAAAAAGAATTTAAAATGCAATTATTAAAATTCACATCATAATTAATTTGGCATTCAATGCTAAATAAATTTTATTTTAGAAATGTCTACATTTAGTGTAACGGTAACATCTTAGTCATATTGAAATAAATCGACTAAAATATCAAATTTTTTACCATTTGTAAAATATGCAAATAAATTCTGTGAATGATGTGTTAAAAACTACGAAACATTATTCTCTCTTGGCATTGTTCAATCTAGCTTGAACCGTATTATTCGCAAACTATACCGTTATTTTATTATTTAAATCGCTATCACACCGAATTACTTATCAATTTTAATAACAATCGTTTTGCTGGGCCCAATTTCGAATCGATCGAAATAGATTTTTTCGTGTGCTTCACCACCGATCATTATTTGACCGCTGTAAAAGAAATTTGTTAGATCCATGGTAATATTTGTAATGCCAAAATTAGATATTGATGCAAATGTGTTTCGTCGTGGATACCACCTCACTAAAATTAATATATTCCCATTTTCATGATACATTGCCGATGTATTTGATTCGTATTTATCTTTCTTCTTATATTTATTTAAGTGAATGGATGGTGAAATGTCGCGCAGAGTAATCATTCTGGTAATTGTGTCAAGATCGTCAGGATTAATTCGACTTGAATTGTTTAAACCGTTTTCAGTATTAGTTTGGGGTGACGAATGCCATTGTTGTGAATCTATTGCTTTGCTGAACTGTTGCTGAGATTTTCCTTCATTGTTTCCATCGCCATGATAAACGTTCGGAGTACCAGGTAACATTAAGGACATGAGTGTAGCAGCCAAAGTTCCGTTTGTTGTTAGTTCGTATGATTTTTGTGTTTCATGCTCTGAAACACCGCCAATCGACCATTGAATGAAAGCCGCATCATTACCTGGTTTTAAAACTCCATTCAAATGTTGATTGATTTGTTTTGCAATTTGCTGCGTACTATTCGTAACATCGATGAAAATATCAACCAAATCGACATGTCGTACAATTTCTTCAGCTAGTGGTTGTTTCACATTCTCAAGTAATTGATTGTTTACCATTAAAATTCGATTGTCACCAATGACCGCTTTCCATGCACGAATGTTTGGCAAAAGCAATGGATCCTCATACATGTTTTCCAAGCCCTTTATGTAAAAACCATCGACACCACATTCTATCCACATTTTAAGCGCACAAATAAGCTTGTTTGTTTCAAGCGGTGCTCTTGAAACACGCAATGCACCTTGTTCGATGATCATCGGATGTTTTGTGCTCTCTTCAATTGTGGTTGTGACGGGATCAAGCTTTGTCATAAACGGATAAATTGGCAAATCAAGAACAAGCGAAAGATTATTCTTGTGAAATATTCGAATCAAATTTATCATGTCGGTATGATTGCCAAGTACATCATCGATTTCAAATAGCGAGGTTATGTTTTGAAAATGATTTGGTGAATTTTTCATTGGAAAAATTGAATTCAAACGAACACCAACAACGCCGAGTTTTGTTAAGTAATCAACACGATCAGCCAGACCGCGTAAATCACCAAAACCATCAACATTTGAATCAGGGAACCGAGTCGGATGAATCTCATAAAAAACACTTCCTTCGTACCAAACGGTTCTGCGAAAAGAAAAATGTATTCAATTTTTGTTAAATTGAATCGAATCAAATATTTAAAAAAATATATCATATTTCATTTCAAAATCATTTTATACTGAAATCTGAAATATTTTGTTACACTTTTTAATCACATAGTCAAAACAAAACGATTGAATAACGTGACTTCAAACACGTATGAAGAGAGAGAGAGAGAGAGAGAGAGAGAGAGAGAGAGAGAGAGAGAGAGAGAGAGAAATGGAACCGATACTTACTTTGGATTGCATGTTTTTGGCAATAAATAAATCATTGAAACAACGGTGGCCGCAATCGCAACGACACCGGCAACAAAAAAGAAAAACGAACATTTTCGAATGAGTTTCCAGTTCCAATAAACAAATGATGGCACGTCTTTGCTGTCCGGTAAATTTAAATGGGCATGTAATTGTGTCTCACTTTCTGGAATAACTTCGTCATTTTTGCCAAAATGTTGATAAACGTTTGGATTAAAAACGGTCGTAGTACCAGCAACGACTTGCCCATCAATGCATCCAGAGCTGCCGGAACATGAACTTGTGTCTTCTTCGGCTGCCTAGGGTTAATCACAAAGAAAAGAATGGAAATAATGGGAATTAATCAATATGTAATGGAACGTAATGGAAGTAATGGAAACATATAATGAAAATCAAATATGTATAGTCTAAGAGCAAAATAATCGTCACACATTTGCAACAACATTGCTTTAATTTGAGATTTGGTAGTAGTGTTGAGAATCGCGTTCTGCTGTGGAAGAAAAACAAAAACGAAATACTTACTATAGAATAGCACTTGGTGCCAAGGCCACTACCTATTTCAATTTAAAAAAAAAGAATGGAATGAAAAAAAATATCACCATTAATATATCAATCGGTCTACAATGAATGGAACCAAACGACACTTACTCACACACGTAAATTACTCTTAGACGGAGTAAACTACGGGAGACGGCCGAGGAGGATATTCATTTAATGAGCGGCAGCATTAGCCGAGCCATGTTGTCGATGCAACGTTTATGCGATAGTGTGTATCCAACGATGATTCCTTCGTTGCTCTGCTCTGCTACTACTACTACTACCAAATCTCAATTTTTGTGAGCAAAGTGTTTGCTAACCCAGCTTCGTTCAATTCATTTGCAAATTGTTTTTAATTTATGTGTGTATATGTGTATGATCAAACCCTTACTACTTTCTTACATACTAAATAGATATTGATATTGTGATTTTTTGAAATGGATGTAATGGGTGTAATGGAAAAATAATCGAAAGAATGGATAGCATTCTTCAATAATGGAATAGTAATTTTAAAGTAAGTATACCCTGTCGGCTGCTCTTGGATTATCGTTGACAAAATCATCGGTTCCGGGTTGTGAGCAATTTTCATTAAGAATATTTGGCGTAAGTGGATCGTTGAAGTTCATTTGCGGCGGCGGTGACGGTGTGTTCGGTAATAGAGGGCAAGTGGATGCATCTTCTTCGGGTAAAAATGTCGAACACGATGGTGATGTATTCAACGACTGTGATGAATCCACACCCAATAATGGTGTTTTGTTCGTTGGTATTTCTAAATTGTTCATAGTTTCACAATGTATTTTTTTGTTTTGTTTTTAGTTACACTTAGTTTAGTTGTTCAGAGAGTTTTCTTTTTTATTTTTGATTTTTGACATCGAACAGAGGAAAGAATATCGATAACTGCACCATGAAAAACGGTATGGCTGCAATGAAGTCTATTTTTAAACTGTCGTCAGTCGCAGGCATACGACAGACATTAGCACTACATTTAGTCAGTCTGAATACTTTCATACACACATACACAGTGTATGCCGTTTTTTTATTAATCGCTTGAACATTTATTTCAACAAAATTTCCACTAATTGATTTTGATTCGTTTCGTTTAATGTGTATTGCATTCACATATTCACATATGGTATGAATCCCACACTGGTCGATATTTGAAAAGATAATATCAATATTGTGTCGCCAAAACACGTCCGCATTAAATTGAATGACGTATTTATAATATCAAATCGAAATTGAAGTCGTCAATTGAACAAACACTGTAGCACAAGAACTCTCCTTCTTAATTGAATGTCGACAAAACAATATGCGGTGTTTATTAAACAAATTACTTATCATGAACACCAAACAGTTCCCTTATTCTCGTTGTATGAAATTAAAATGTGAGTATTTTCGTGTAAATTGAGGAGTTGATTTGATGTGAATGAAACAGCTGAAACATGTCGACGTGAATGTTTGAATAGGACTTTTGAACATTACATCGAGGCCACATACGAAAATATATGAATGTGGCTCATGCTTATGTCAAAATACACTGTAATATTCCAATAATGGCACATGCGCAGAAATCTCTCTATTATTAGTTTTGACATTTAGCATAGCGGTAGACAGTAATCATGCATGCATAGAGCCCAAACATTATGTGAAACGTATCATTGTGCATGCACAATACCTATTCACAATAGCGCCAGGCATGTGGTGCGTTTGGAAGCAGAAAAGATGACGAAACAATTACTTTCAATGGTATCATCTTATTATCGGTTTTAAGTACTACGCATTTCTTGTTCATAATATATGTATATTTATTTTCAAACTGCTCAAATTCTATATGATAATAACTGTCCTTTTAACATATGTCTACATATTGTGTGTCGAAACGAAACTAAAAGTTAGTTTCAATTTGAAGCGATTCGTACAAAAACGTATAAATATCGGTCTCTTCTTCGATTCGTTTTGCGATAGGTTTGCCCGATCCATGTCCAGCCTTGCTGTATACACGAAGTAAGATTGGATTGTTTTGGAATTTATTATTTTTCACTGCATATTGTAGCGTAGCGGTGAGTTTCAACGAGTGTAATGGGCTTACTCTGTCATCATGGTCGCCCGTTAAAATGATTGTTGGTGGATATTGGCTAACACTGCTATTTGGCACATGAACATTATGTAACGGCGAGAATTTATACAGATTATCGAAATGAACCTTTTCGTCTGGATTGCCATAGTCAGAAATCCATGTATGGCCAATGGTAAATTTATGAAAACGCAACATATCCATCACGCCCACTTGAGCTACAGCCGCACCAAATAAATCCGGTCGTTGATTGATACAAGCTCCAATCAGCAATCCACCATTTGAACGGCCATAAATGCCAATTTTCTTATTTATCGTATACTTCTGCGCAACTAAATATTCTGCAGCCGCTTGGAAATCATCGAATACATTTTGTTTGTTTAACAATCGACCAGCATCATGCCACTTTTGCCCGTATTCAGACCCACCACGGATATTTGCTACGGCCAAAATGCCATCAAATGCATTGACAAAAAATAAAAATGGCACCTTGAATTCTGGTTGGATTGAAATATGGAATCCACCGTATGCATACAATAAAACTGGTTTGGTTTTTGATGCAGTTTTCTTTTGAACAATGAACATTGGGATTTTGGTACCATCATGGCTTGGATAGAACACCTGTTCGACTTTAAAGTTTTTCTTATCGAATCCATTCAAATTTAATTTGTTTTCAATAAAAACGGTTGGTTCAGCATCGGGATTCGAAAAATCATAACGATAGATAGTTCCAGGCATCAAAAATGACTCCAATTGGTAAAAGACTTCGGAGTACTTTTTATTTCCACTGAAACCAACTACAGTTCCAATTTCAAGAGAGAATTTACGTAACAATTTTCCAGTTTCGAGAGAATGTACTTGTAAAGTATCCTGAAATTGTATTTATATTGCAAAATGTTGTCGATGTTTTATAAGCAATAAACACATACCTTTACATCTTGAAGATATGAAATCACAAGTTTATCCTTATCAACATGTTTTGCCCATTGTAACACATCTCTTGAGTCTTCCTTTAAATGGGTTTAATTATTTTTCAAATTATTTTTCATTTTCTTTTTGTAAGTTTAGTTTAGTTAGATAAGGTTTAAATATCAAAATCTTACTTCAACAAGCGTAGTCCAATTATCTTCAGTGTAGTGATTGAAATCGATTACGACAATACGATAATTTGGTGCTTTGATATTTGTACGGAATACTACTTTAGATCCGGTATTGGTAATATACTAAATAAAACGTGTTATTACTTTGGCGATATATGAAACGATATATTTTGAAATGAAAATCTTACTTCATAACTAGCTTCGAGTTTCGTTACTATTGACGTAAGTAAAATCTTGCCAACGATGGGTCCGGTCTTCTCTAAGTCAGCGAAATGCAATGAATTCTGATTACCATAATTCTGCATCACAATCAAATATTTGCCGCATGAGCTAACAGTGGCTATTCTGAATTTTGAGCAACAAAATTATTGAAAAAAATACAAAATATATATATTTTAATTTACTCACATCAGCCGATCCGGATTTTCCGTGAATTCGACAACAAGAACATCCTCTCCTTGTACATCAACAACACGATGATAATATAATTTTTGGTTCTTATTCGTATCCGTTTCAGAACCATCACCGTTTTGATCATATCGCTGCAAATAACAAATAAACGTTGTGCATTTATGTGTGGAACATTTTTTTGTACTGATCTGAATTTACATTATAGAAAAATCCTTTATTGTCATGTGTCCATTCCAACGATGTGAACTTTACTCTTTCCAAAAGTTCAGAATAATCTTCGCCAGTTTGAACGTTACGGATTTTGATTTTAATCCAATCTGAACCCGATTCACTGACACCATATGCTAGTAGATTGCCGTCTTTGGAAAAAGCATGCTGTTGCAAAGAAATCGTGCCGTCAGATGAGAATGCGTTTGGATCTAAAAATACTGTCGGCTCATCATCCAATGAGTTTTGTTTATACAGCACGCTGAAATTAATTGCCAAATGGAGTCGGTCAATGGATTTAAAAATTATTTTGTTGATCGTTTATTATTACTTTTGATTTTGTAGACCAGTATTTCTAAATGAAAAATAGTATTTTCCGTGTCGCGTTGGAACAAAGTATTTGGGATAGTTCCATAGTGTGGTTAAGTTTGTATTGATTTTTTTCCATTTATCACTATTATTTAAAAATGATTGTGATATTTCATTTTCAGCATTTACAAACTGTTTTGTCTCTTCCGAGAATGGATCTTCGAGCCATCGATATGGGTCGGCAACTTTCGTTCCATGTAAATCTTCGACGATACTTTCGTCTCGTCTTGCATCTGGGTATTTAATTGAGGTTTCGATTAAGTTACGATTTTTACCCACGCTAAGCGTATTAACTTTTTCTGAAAAAAAAAAATATAATTTAGAAAAACAAAACAATTGAACTTCGAATTGAAGAAAACTTTCAATAATCGATAATAACTAATTACCAGCCAAAACTGTGATTAAACACAATGCAAGCAACGTGAAGTGTTTCATTTTTTTCCTATCTTGTCAACGAGCGACCTGTAAAATAACTAAAATGTTTTGGCTTTAATGCACACTTTTATATTGTTCCGTCATGTGAAGTATTAGAGAGAGAATTCGAAAAAAAGTGTTCGAATGTATGCCAAATGGTTGTGTTAACAAACCTTATCTTATCAATAATAATGTTCTTCTTATTGAGTTAGGGGGTAGACCTAGACACCGATTTATAGGATTCATTTTGATTTTATTTAATGTGGATTGATTTGTATTGATTTCAATTACAAACAAGAAGAAGACAAAGCTTCGACCTACATTTTAATATTTATTTATTTTTTTTCAAAGAAATTAAAACACATTTTTTATAACAAACATTGCGATTTTCATTTTTCAACTTCGAATCGATTCAGTATGAATCATTCAGAGAAATATTTAATTTATTAACCCAAAGAAATTTGTTTTAGTACACAAAACAAAAGTGGCATATTTGGTGATTTGATTTTTTTGCTTTATTTATTTTATTAGATTTGCTTTATCGCTCTTTAGGATCTGGTTGATGAAGTGAATAACAAAAAAAATGTTATGAATTCATAAAAACTACAAATAGTGCTTTGTAAAAGCCGCATTTCCTGTCTCCTTCCTATAGTACAAAAATGAAGGCTAGAGACACTGAGACACAAAGAATTTATTTTCAAATACTTTCTAAAATGTTATTGTACATTCTAGTGATTTGTAGCACATTTCCGAAATTCTTTGCAATTTATTTCGAAACTGTTACTGTTAATGTCAATGCATTAAAATTACCAAATAAAACATGTTAATAAATATATTGAATTCTACCCTTCAGAGTACTTTCCTTTTAATAAATATTAATAAAGATTACTGAAAAATATAAATATATAAAGCAGCGAAAACCTCTTAGCCGCACCATAATACCTAATGATCAGTACTGATTTGAAGAGCTTGATACAAAAACGTTAGAATATCGGTGGACTCTTCAATTATCTTTGTGGTGGGTTTACCACCACCATGTCCAGCCTTGCTGTAGACTCTCAATAAGATTGGATTCTTTTGAAATTCATTGTCTTTAACAGCATGCTGTAAAGCAGCAGCAAATTTCAGCGAATGCAATGGACTGACGCGATCATCATGATCGGCAGTCAAAATCAATGTTGATGGGTATTGGTTGTCGGTGCTGTTCGGTGAATGTACATTGTGTACTGGTGAGAATTTATACAGATTATCGAAATGAACCTTTTCTTCCGGATTGCCATAGTCAGAAATCCATGCATGGCCAATCGTGAATTGGTGAAAACGTAACATATCCATCACGCCTACTTGAGCTACAGCCGCACCAAATAGCTCTGGTCGTTGATTGATGCAGGCACCGATAAGTAATCCACCATTTGAACCACCTTGAATGGCTATCTTCTTGGCTTCCGTGTATTTGTGATCGATCAAATACTGGGCAGCTGCTTGGAAATCATCAAATCCATTTTGTTTATTGAGTAAACGGCCACTGTCATACCAAGAGCTTCCATATTCTCCACCACCACGAATATTTGGCATTGCAAACATGCCATTAAATGCATCGATGAAGTACAATATAAGTTCACTGAATGTTGGCAACAATGAAATATTGAAACCACCATATCCATGCAATAAAACTGCCTTCGGACCTTTTGATATAGTTTTCTTTTGAACAATGAACATTGGGATTTTGGTGCCATCACGACTGGGGTAAAATATTTGTTCTACTTTGAAGTTATTTTTGTCGAATCCCTTTAAATTCATCTTTACTTCACGAAATACAGAAGGTTCGATGTGTGGTTTTGAGAAATCATATCGATAGATTACGGTAGGCGTTAAGAACGACACCAACTGATAAAAGATTTCCGAGTGCTTTTTATCTCCACTAATACCAACAACTTCACCGATTTCAAGCGGCAATGTTCGAATCAATCGGCCCGTTTCAAGGGAATGTACTTGTAGCACACTCTGTGGGTAGATGGAATAAATCAATGAAATGGATGCATAGTATTTTCAAGAATTTGACATATGATTCGCATAAAAGATCACACGTAAATCAAGTGGGACTGCCTGCAAACGGTAAATTAGTAGAGAAAACATCACGAGAGTATACCTTAACGTCGCGAAAATATTCGATGACGATTTTATCTCCATCTACACAATAAGCCGCATTTAGTACATCTTTTTGATGCTCCTGTGCTTTCAGAATGATAAAAATTTAATGAAAAACTTTAAATTAAGAAAATTTTATATTGATTATAAACCTCAATAAGAGTACTCCAATTTTCCTCCGCATAGTTGTTGAGATCGATTGTAATAAGTCGGAAATTTGGCGCATTCTTATTCGTATGGAACACCATCTTTGATCCAGTGTTGGTTACATACTGAAATCAACGCATTCAATGGAATAATATGAGAATAAAAACTTTCATTAGAAATTAAATTAAGCAATCTACAATAAAATCAGCCTCAAACTTCGTAATTATTGGTATGAGTGAAATTTTTCCATTTATCGGGCCATTCTGCTCTAAGTCAGCAAAAAATACCAAATTATCACTTGTTGTAATGGTACTCGTTACAATTAAGTACTTTCCACAGTGGCTTATTTCTGCGTTGCTGTTTTGAAGAGAAAAAAATTGAAAAATTCCAAGTATTCGTAATCAGAATTAACATTTTACACTGTCCATGATGGATTTTCTGGAAACTCAACAACAAGTAAGTCTTTTTCTTGTGGCTCCCCGATGCGATGATAATATAATTTTTGATTTTGGTTCATTTCAGTTTCAGAACCGTCGATTTTTCCTTCTTGATTGAAACGCTGTAAGAAATAATTCGTCAATGATCAATCAGCAGTACTTCAGAGGAAAAGTGGCAAAAATTCACATTATAGAAAAAGCCTTTGTTGTCACGTGTCCATGCAATCGATGGAAATTTCACTTGTTCCAAACAATCTTTAAAATCTTCACCGCTTTCAATATTGCGAACTTTGATCTTTATCCAATCTGAACCTGATTCGCTGACACCATATGCAAATAAATTGCCATCGTTGGAGAAATCCACAGTTTGTAATGAAATTGTGCCATCGGTTGAGAATGTATTTGGATCCAAAAATAGAATTGGGTCATCAGTCAATGAACTCTGTCTATACAAAACACTGCAAACGAATAAAACTATTTTAATAAATATCACATTTTTGATCAAACATTGTATTTACGAACTCTTGATCTTGAAGGCCCGAATTTTGATAGAAATAGTAATAATTTCCATGCCGTACTGGTGCAGTGTATTTTGGATAGTTCCAAAAATTAGTTAATTTCTTCTTAATTTTTGGCCATATATCGTTACTTTCCAAAAACAAGCGAGATATTTCATTTTCAGCATTGATAAATTGCTTTGTTTCATCAGAATCGGGATTTTCGAGCCATCGATATGGGTCCAAAACTTTCGTTCCATGAAAATCATCGACAACACTCTCATCACGTCGAGCAGCGGGATATGTATAATTACGAAAAACACTCGGGACGTTGTTGCCAGACACAAAACTTTTCACTGCAAAAACTTTCGACGCATAAAAAATTATAAAAGAAACTAGACCAAATTCAAAATTCATACTTATTATTTGAAAATATAAATCTGTAAAACACACTTATCATACATGTGACATATTTATATTTGCAAACCACTTATTAAGTGACTCTGCAAAACTATTATAAACAAACATATGGTTCTACTCGTTTGTAATTATTCAATTCATTTAGTATGACAAACTTTACAGATATCTTTTTCGCGTTTGAACTTTCAAGGTCTGTTCAAATTTTTTGATTTAAAATTAAGTTAGATTTATCAACGTTCAATTTGGTTAGTGAATGTAATTTAAAATTTCAAAATAAAAGTAATGACGTGAAATTAAAGGAAATGACTGTCATTATCTTGCTCTAAATCAAGAATATTTGTACAAACATAAAAAACAAACAGAAAATAAACGAACCGCAAGTAAATTATTACCGAACAAAACTATGAATAGGCAACGTGCAAAAAATGTGGTGAATTTCATTTTTTATATGAATTGACTTCGAAAATATTAATCTGGCTGTAATGCCGGCTGTAACTATACTGAAATTTCAAACAGAACTCACAGCTTTATATGTTGTACCAATATTTCAACCATCCGAAAGCGTGCCGGAGTGGGAAATTAATAGATAGAATACCAGTTTGGAGAAGAAAGTTCTTAATGAACTTATAAGTGTGTTACATGACCCATAAATTGAAATTTACAAACATTGAAATATAGCGAAATTACGTTATGTCAAAATATATTGTTTACTCATGCAAATCTTGTTGAGCATACTCATCAGAGTTTAGATGTAAATATCACATGTTTATGGTTTGTTGCTAATAAAACTAAAAATGGCGCGACGCGTGACAAGCAATCTATACTATATATGCATACATTTTGCAATAACGAAAATACTTTAAATTCATATTAAATTTTAACATATTCGAACCTAAGTGACTCGATGATGACTTTCGATTTATTTAACACCATTTGGGCTTTTTCGCGATGCTCATTTAATTAAAAGAATTAAAAATACTAGCAATTCTATACTTTTCAAAAAAAAATATTTTGCTTAATGTAACCTTCTCTTAAACGCACTTTTGGTCACTTGAAATTTGTTAGCAGCAAGCTTGATCTTTAAAATGTAAAGAAAAATGGATAGAGTTTTCATTTCCACTGATTTAGCACAATTCATCCAGTTCAAATGAAATAAAACTCAAGAGAATTTTTTTGATGTATTTAATTAATGTCGGTGCTTCATAAAAATAGAGTCTATAGACTTCCAGGTACGATTTGATATATACAAAGTAGTAATGAATTTAGCTAATTGGATGATTCACAACGCATGACTTGCAAGGTCTACTGCGACGTCTGGATACCGGATAATTTACCGAAAGTAAAATTCCTGAAATGAGATAAATTCTCGATTGCGTTCAGACGCGGCGTTTATACGCAAATATATTTAAATTTGCCCAAGCCATTCGAGAACTTTTGAAACAGTGATACGGACTCTCTGTGAACTTGTTAACCTTCACCACGAAATAGTGAAAAATATTTTCAAAAGTGTATTTGGTTTTATTTGAATACGAATTTGATACTGACTGATATCAATTGATCGACATTGTTTGAGCCTAAACTATTCTCGAGACAGGGATTTTGACTATAAATGAATTATATGAATTTGTTGAAAACAGTTATTTATTTATTTATGCGAAGACAAGTAGAAATTCCTACTTGAATGTTAACATTTCCAATTATGAATAATTTAATGTTTCAACCTAATTGAAGAAGTTTTAAGTTTCTTGTTAATGCTTATAACCATTGCTGTATATTTACCATTGAATCACATAAAAAGAGTATTATTTGCTCGAACATTTGAAATGTTTCACGAGCTTTCCAGAAAACCTATCAACTGAATTTTCATTCAATTAATATGTGTAAGGTTTTGTATAAATCGAACCTTCCAAATGTGTCTTGTATATTCGTTGAACGCAACGCGAAACAAATAGAACACTCGAGATGGTTCGTGAAACTCTACAACATTCGAACGTTTCTACGGTGAATTTTCTAGAAAACTTGAAAACAGTATAAATGCCGTGCAGCGTACACAGCGTAGTCAGTCATAAAACTACAAGCAAAGCAAGAACAACAAAGTAAAAGATAGAAGCGAAGAATATTCATCCAGTGAATTTCAAAGCAAAAGTTTAAAGATAAAGAGTAATTTACCAGAGTTGAAAAGTGAATAATTTATTTAAATTGAGAAAAGTTGAAAGTAAAAAAAATCAATTAAAAATGCCTGCTATTGGAATTGATTTGGGAACAACTTATTCGTGCGTTGGAGTATTTCAACACGGAAAAGTGGAAATTATTGCAAACGATCAAGGCAACCGAACAACACCAAGCTATGTCGCATTCACCGATACGGAACGTTTGATTGGCGATGCGGCCAAAAATCAAGTCGCAATGAATCCGAAAAATACCATCTTCGATGCAAAACGATTGATTGGCCGCAAATACGACGACGCTAAAATTCAAGACGATCTCAAACATTGGCCATTCACCGTAGTAAGTGAGAATGGAAAACCAAAACTCGTGGCCGAATTTAAAGGAGAGCGTAAACGATTCGCACCAGAAGAAATTAGTTCGATGGTTCTGGTAAAAATGAAGGAAACGGCCGAAGCATATTTGGGCGAGACTATCACGGACGCTGTCATAACCGTTCCGGCATATTTCAACAATGCACAGCGTGAAGCAACAAAGGATGCCGGTGTGATTGCCGGTTTGAACGTGCTCCGTATCATCAACGAACCAACGGCGGCTGCATTAGCCTATGGATTGGATAAGAATTTGAAGAGTGAAAAGAACGTACTTATTTTCGATTTGGGCGGCGGTACATTTGATGTGTCAGTTCTAACGATCGACGACGGTTCATTATTCGAAGTGCGTTCAACAGCCGGCGATACACATTTGGGTGGAGAGGACTTTGACAATCGATTGGTAACTCATTTCGCCGATGAATTTAAACGCAAATACAAAAAGGATCTTACAACAAATCCACGTGCATTGCGACGTTTACGAACAGCTGCCGAACGAGCCAAACGAACACTATCGGCAAGTACTGAGGCCACCATCGAAATCGATGCTTTATTCGAAGGTGTTGATTACTATACGAAAATATCTCGAGCCCGTTTCGAGGAACTGTGCGCCGATTTATTCCGAGCTACACTTCAACCCGTGGAGAAAGCACTGGCCGATGCCAAATTGGATAAATCGAAAATCGATGAAATTGTTTTGGTCGGTGGATCGACTCGTATTCCAAAGGTTCAATCATTATTGCAGAACTTCTTCAACGGCAAACAATTGAATCTCTCCATCAACCCCGATGAAGCCGTCGCTTATGGAGCAGCAGTTCAAGCAGCCATTCTCACCGGCAGCAAAGACAGTAAGATTCAAGACGTGCTATTGGTCGATGTGACACCACTTTCACTTGGTATCGAGACAGCTGGCGGTGTGATGACCAAACTCATCGAACGAAATGCTCGTATTCCATGCAAACAAACACAAACATTCACCACTTACGCTGACAATCAGCCAGGCGTTTCAGTTCAGGTGTTTGAAGGTGAGCGAGCAATGACGAAAGACAACAACGTATTGGGTAGCTTTGAATTGACCGGCATACCACCAGCACCACGTGGCGTTCCAAAAGTTGAGGTGACATTCGATTTGGATGCAAATGGTATTCTTAATGTAACAGCAAAGGAAATGAGCACCGGAAAATCAAAGAATATCACCATTAAAAATAACAAAGGTCGCCTATCACAATCAGAAATCGATCGAATGTTGGCCGAAGCCGAACGATATCGCGAAGAAGATGAGAAACAACGTGAAAAGATCACCGCCAGAAATAGTCTTGAAGGCTATGTGTTCAGTGTGAAACAAGCAATCGAGCAAGCCGGCGATAAATTAAGCGAAGAAGAAAAAACAAAAGCACGCAATTGCTGCGAGGAAACAATCAAATGGCTTGATACCAATGGATTGGCCGAAAAGGACGAATTTGAACACAAAATGCAAGAAATCAGCAAAATTTGTTCACCAATCATGACGAAAATTCATACTGGCGGAGCAAGTAGCTGTGGTCAACAGGCCGGCAACAACAACTATCAATCCCGGAATGGTCCGACTGTTGAAGAAGTCGATTAAAAAGTCAAGTAATAACAAGTATATGATTTCAATTTGAATGATTTGTGAAAATATTTTAATTCGTCTCTTATAAGAGATTAGATAAGACTAGCGATTAAGAATTAAATTGTTAATAGGCTAAGAATGTTAATTAAAAACATTTAAAATGTTGAAAATTAAAAACCGATGTGTTTTATTATGAAGAGTTTTCAACCAAATGCGAACCTTATAAATCATTGATTGGTTGATTTTAAGTAGTAAATGTTGGTTCATAATTACAAAACGGGGGCTTTTTTTTTCCAAGAACACAATTTCACCAACAGCTGGCATATTTATTACTCCATTCAAAACTCATAGAAAACTTTTACAAAGTCGGTGAAATGGATGAAAAGAGCAGAGGATTCATAAAAAACTCTAATAAAATACTATTGTTGATGAAATTCATGTTTGAATTAGCACTTCGATTTCTAGGAACGAGCCACTCGAGTTCAGAAAACTGATTAATTACTATGGTGTTATTGTGAAATATTATTCACACCGTGAACGAACTCAATTTTGGGATAGTATCTTCGACGAATTCAAACAACACATTAACTTCAATTTTTCATCTACTTAATTGAGTATTATTTGCATCTGTTTTTTAATACAAACTTACAAGAAATAATGATGATTGCAATTTCTTATAGACCTTTCAGCCCATTATATATTATTCAAAAAGAAATACTTTGGGAAAATGCTTATTGACAAAGAATAATTTGATATTAATAGTACATAATTATAAAATATTAGAAAATTTAAAATGCAAAAATCGGTGATTCAGAAATCAAGAATGTAACAATCAATTTACAATTTGCTCTGTTACTTGCAACATTTGCCGTGGGAACTTATAGAGAAAGACAGAGTTTGTGTGCAATTTAAAACAATTTCATGGAATGCAAACTATTTTGATTCACCATCGATTTGAAGCACGAAGAAAATATATTTGCATGCTTCATCCATGTAATCGTAAAAGATCTGGAAAGTTGTTGTTGCATTTAAGATTACATCATATCATCAGTGTGCCAAGACTGGGCTGATCACTGTTCATTATTTTCATTAGCCCAAAATACTATTTGATGTAATCCACATCACGTCAAATACCGTGTCTTTTAAAAAATAAATTAACCACTTTTCGCACAGACATACAGCGTTCAAAAACAAATAAAATGTATAAATTCCATTTTAATTGCAATCATCGAAATTGCTTTGCGCTTGGCAGGTGTTAAGAGATAAAATAAAATTCACTTTACAAAATTCAATGCAAATTGGAGTATATACATGTTCACTTCGATGTGTTTAAAAAATAAACAAATCACTTTTGACTGTCTGCATTCAAAACAAAATTAAATATTTTTGTATGATTTAAACTCATGCCGCATGAACATATTATGCAATGTCCAACAGTCCTTACAAAAATAAATTAGTAATGAATATCAAATTGTGGTCGAATAGTAGCTTCAGTTTGAAAATTGTATTATGTTGTGTTTGGACACATTGTGGCATAGATCAAGTGCTCCTCTTTTTAATTGTTATTACAATGAGCATTGGCAATTGTGGTATAATTAGAGGTTGGTCTCTAGTGATTCACGGTACATTAAATCCCATGTTTACTTTCGTCTGACAAATCTAATCTTGTACATGCCATACATTTTTGTTTATATTATTTTTTTTTTTAAATTTTATTTTTACTTTTACGCACACATTTTTTATCGGAAAGTGTGTTTTGATTTCAATGATGAGATTTATCGCATTTTTATGCTTCACCAATAATGCTTAAGAAACATATAGCTTCACACAACCCGAGCAATTTTTTTTATTGAAACGTGACGAGCTTCCAATTTTAATTTTCCTATTTAGCAGTAGATGGCGTTCGGCATGCCCCGTTGAATGTTATGCATTGAATGAATCATGATCTTTGAACTTGAAATGACGGATTACGCAACCGAAGCAATGGGACTGAAAAAAGTGCAAATTGAATGATTCAGTGAAAATGTTGACGCGATCTGATATCAGGTGTTGCTTTGTATGGAAATGAAATGTAATGAGTCTGACATTTCAATCGACCGCGCTGGGTTATACAAATCGGGAAACCCACAATGCGGACCAAATTACGCATCTACTAAATTTTTGAATATGATTTACATTCAAGTTCAGTGATATAATTTCCTTTGGTCATAAATTAATAAATTGAAGACACACTGAATTCCGCATGCCCTTGGCCGCTGTTGAAGATTTCTGAACGTGATTTATGGTAATTCAATTGGACGCGGTGGGTGTGATATTTTTTACAAAAATCGAATTGTTGGACTGTACAATGTAAGCGCTTAAATTGTGTCCCAAATATTAGCCAATTTCCAGAGTGTGCTGACTGACAATGAGTGTATGAATGGACAAATGTTTTCCAAAAGGTTGAAACAATTGTTTGCAAATTCGATTTGGCCGCCTTTGAAAACCATCGACACATGCTGAATTATTTAAGACAATTACTGAAAATACGAAGTGTGCGTACAATGAGCGAAGACAATATCGTTCGCACACACACACAAAACAACCCAGACGAATTCGTAAAAACGATGTGGGAATATTTTTGGCCACGCACACCGTGTGAAAAGTAGTACGTCTTCCATGACGAAAATAAAAACAGACTAGTTAAAATTGCACTCATGGCCATAAAATTTATCTCATTAGTCATCATTTAGTTAGAGATGTTGGGAGTTTTTTTTTTGTGTGTGTATGTGTGATGCCAAAATCGTGATAGATGAAATAAATACTTCTAATCAAACACGTAAAATACCGTGTAATAGCCTGAACACAAAAAATAATTATAATGGGCAAAGGTCGTTTGCGATTGCATCACGTCTGCTAATGTTCGTTAGAAGTAAAGACTCTACGTTGGAATCAATGTGATCGGTCAATGCGCCAACGAATTTCGTGGCATTTAAAAAGTTTAATTCAATTTCGATATTGGTGAACAAGTGTTTCATGCTATGGATTTTTTTTTGTCGCAAATCACAAACATGAACGAATACAAAGCCAAAAAACGATTGCAACACCAATGAAGCAATTCTTCTTTCTGAACTGATTCGAATTGCACCTTTTATGCATTCGATTCTATGTGAATCGACACCGTACCGCTTTATACATCGGTATAATAAGTGTGGCAATCGACAAGCGTGAGCACGAGTAAATTGTTTCATATATGGAGTACGTTAGCGTACATGTATACTGTGCACAGCTCATGGACAATTAAGAACAGCGATGCGTGAAAATATTAACATCATAATTAAGTGAATTTCTAATGGAAACACTGAACTAACAATCGAATTGCATAATAGCTCATTGAGAATGGAATGGAACTGTAAACAATCACCGTTGAATTTTTACTCCCTGCGATTGAGTTATTGATTACATTTTATTTCAAACGACTCGCATTTTTCCGTGAGATTTTCTTCGCTGTTTTTTTTTTCGCCATTGTGGCCTTTGAGGACGTCTGTCGATTGCTCCCAATTATTACCACAGAATATCTCAACTTGCTTTCGCTTCAGGTTTAAAAAAAATATACAATCTAATATGACATACGTTTGTGTAACTATGTCTTTTTACCAACGAAGCTATTCCAACCAAAATACCTTCATGTTCATCCGCAGCATAATTGGGCCTGCTCAAACTTGCGCTTTCAAGCTATTTATTAGCACTTGCGCTATCATTTATTTCTATTTTATTTGTCTGTCAGTGTCTTATATTTTATTGTCATCGCTACCACTGTTGTTGTGGTTATTGTTATGGCTGACAATTTGACAGTAATTTTTTGTTTTATTAGCGCACCATTAAATAATGAGCTAGTTGATGAACATTCACAAGTGCTACCTAATACAATATTCAAAAATATTTTTTGTCACGTTTATCTCTGCGGTGTAATTATTTATAAAATGACAACCATTGGCCGTAACAAAGTGTAATTGATTTCATTTTCATAACCATAAATTAATATGCAACAGAAACAAAACAAAAAATGTGGCCCAATGTAAATAATTTCATTTATTTATAGTTCATAACGCAGGAAATTAATCAGTCTATATTCCAAAATCGGATTGAATTCACTTTAATTATTATTATTGAAAGTATGCAGAGATTTTGTAATGTATTGTAAGCAAAAAGAAACGGTTTTAAGCCAATAAATGGTTTTTTTTTTAATTTTTGAAGTGTGATTCTCTGTAATTTGGAACCATATGTGTGAACATACCTTGTGTAAGCTAGTAAATGGAAAGGAAATCCAATCGCACTTTCTGGCTATGATTTTTACCAAGATCAGAAAAAGAACGCAGCCAAAATTACATATGCACACACAAAGCAAAAAAGTGAAGAGCAATGAAATAATGATCGGGATATGCATAAATTCATTACACGGATTACGTGCGCAGTTTTTAACAAATTACACAATTCTTTGGTCAACAGCAACGAACGAACAACGAACATATATGTACAAGTACATGTAGCCAGATTAAACAGGTGATCCAAAGCGGACCATAAAAATGACTATGAAGTAATGGTTTTCATTTTATTATATTGTTTTTATGTTTTGTTAATAATAAATTTGCGCATAATTTGATGGTATGTTTTTGTGCACGCGCGCTCACACACAAAAGGAACTGTCTCTGGTCAAATAAAAAGAAAAAGAAAAAAAACTGCCTACACACATTTGGTGTAGCGCACAATTTATTGCTGTACGCCTAGTAATTCTGTGTGCATGGTGTAGTTTTATTAGTGATTTGCTTCGATTACATTTATTATATAGGCTTTATTGAGGTATGCCGAAATTCATATTGGATTTATAATGCAACCGACGGTAATGATTATTATAAATAAATACTAACACAGTTTTGGTGCACAGGTTTATCATAACATTTTTTTTTTGCGATGGCATGGCCAATGCAAATAGAAGAGGAAAAATATTGAACGAAAGGCAGCTGGAGGCCTAAAACCAATGAAACGCTTTATTCACACTCGTTTATTCAGTTACTGGTGAACGCGATCCATCTCTGTACAGCAAAAATTGGCGCAAACACCACACGAACAGGCAGGCAAGCAAGCAAGCGTGTGACGTCAAATGATGTAATATGCTC